ATCAAGCTAAAAGAAGAGATTTAAGACAGTCCTTTGCAATCGACTGAAATAGATAGATGGGATAATAAGCTTATCATTCTCAAAATATACTAAACCATTCAGAATTATTCCGGACATTTCCACAAAATAACGAGAAACATTCTGTTCGAATATTGCAACCCATCGTCGCCTAATAGTTCATGTAGGTAAAATTAACGCCACCAGACATTTACTGGTTACTATGAAAATATGGAGTCCCACGGGTGGTAACTGCTGCTTCTGGAACTTTTAACACGGGTTTTTGTTTCGAAGATATACGAAGTGATTGGTCCTTCATATATAGCAAAAAGAGAATCTGAAAACACTTTGATTGTCAAATAAGTTGTCACTGACTTTCCTGAGATTCCAAATGTGTGAATTCATACTATCTCCGAAGTTAAACTCTCACCATCTCGTCCTCTTCTGTAGGATTGTGCCGTATCAAAATTTCAAAGTTATCGCTGTCATCGCACTGATAAAAAATATAAAGGGCTTTTCCTTTATTAAAGATTTAGAAAAGGAATTTGATGAAACGGAAAGACAATAAGGGATTGAGAGGAAATAACGCGACTACTCTGTTAGTGATTGAGAGGGAAGAAGAGATAATGTTTCGAAAGAAGCAGAGAAGACCATTATAATACTTTCTGCATGAGTGACTAAACTAAGAACTTCTGAACTCGTTCGTCCGGCTGTTTTCTTGATTTCAGGACAGCGATTTGTGGGAGATTTGGAAACCGCATGGGAGTAGGTTTTCTGGTGAAGGAAGAAGAGAAGAGTGGGAGTTTGAGATTTTTAGATGTGGGCTGATATGTGGGCTTAAAAATACTTTCACTGTGGTCCCATCTCCGGTGGATATGTCACACCTGGGAAAAGCTTGCTTGTAATCATTCTTGATTTTCGTTATCCATCATATTCAGGTTTTCCAACTTCATATCTAGGTTCTCTTTCGTTTTTCATAGCCAAGTCTTCCTCCAGCAACCTGCTTCATGTGAATGGTGTTTCACTACCTTATTTATTACAGCTCATTACTGATGGCTAAGTCAACATCCTGTACAGAAAATCTGTCGGATGGTAAAGAACTGGAAAGATTCTATGAGCTATTGATTGAAGCATCGCAAAAGGTACAAGAAATGAAGCTAAAGGAGGGAGGCAGTAAGTGGACTTTTCCTTTGTTTTTAAGTTCACACCTTGTTCTTTTCAGCATGAAATCCAAATCGTGTTGTACCTATTTCAATTATTGAGAAAGTAACTATCAGCAAAATTTTTACGAGATGATTTAGATGTGCATTTCTTCAATTCTCAAAAAGTCGAAACTTTTGGCATTAAAAAGATGCATTCTTTCATGGATTGTGACTGTAAACAAATCATACGTTCTGTGATGTAAAGACATAATTTTTAGAATTTCAATAAAGTTTCAAAATGGATTATTTCCTTCCAGATTCTGAGCTTAATGCATTAGAGGATGATAATGCACCATATATTCTATCCGCAGTGTCTTATAAAGAACCGCTGAAGAAAAACCCAAAACATGTGCTCCATGTGATGAAGCGTTTGCATTCTATGACTACAGCTGAAATGCAAAAGGAATTAAAGAAAGCACATATCGATTCTCGGTAGAACTGTTACTGTGTTACTTTGCCGCCTTTCGTTCATCTGATTGCTTCTTCAGTAACGCCTTGTCAATATAAAAAATGTTTTAAGCACTTTTTTCAAATTAATAATCAGTACAGTCATTAACCTAGTTTACCTACAATCTTTTTTGATCTTTCTCTCATTGAAAATAATCGTACTGCTCTAGTGGGAAACGAAGTCAGCTGTACAACAGATTAAAGAAGTACTTCCGAAAAGAGTTCGCAATTATTAAAAACGCAGAACCTCTACGAAATAAAACTGAAACATTTTATGACTATTTTGTGGTAAGCTAACTAATTTTTCTTCTGTCTAGAGCGAGTTTTCAGAGAATTATAGAGTTGAAATCGAAATTTAGCATATTTTTTCACCGGATCTAAAGCCGAGAGTTTATGCATATAAAAAAAGGTTATACTTATGTATCGATGTGCATATTTGTATTTGAAAACACTGTTCACCCTGATGGTTTACCATTCACGTGTACTTCAGTTGAATTTTAAAAAAGTGAATAATTATTTGCGGTCTATCGCAGGTGATAGATTTCGAATGCACATGTGAAGCTGACCTTTATGATTACAACCATGAAATTATTGAATTTCCAGCTATTCTCGTTGATGTACGGAAAAAAGAAATTGTAAGCAATATTTACTAATTCCACTTGCTAATTTTAAAAGTCCATAGACTTGCTGACTCCTAACTGTCACTTTAAAATCCTTATAAGATTATGCTTTAATTAAGCGTATTAAACAATCCTCGTCTTCATTTCAATTTTGTATAAGCATTTGCCATTTCCTATGCATAAAATGAGCGGAATACTACGATTTATTTGATTTTCCTCAGACGTGTTCTATTTTGCTGCAGTTCAAAGTCAAAGTTTTTTCTAGGTGGATGTTTTCCACTCGTACGTAAGACCATTAGCGAACCCACAACTTAGTGAATTTTGTTCTGCCTTTACGGGTATTACTCAAGAAATGGTTGACAAAGCATTACCATTCATTGATGTTCTGGATTCTTTCCGAGCCTGGATGCAGTTACATCATTTAGGACAAAAAGAAGTGCGCTACGCCTTCGTAACTGACGGGTTTGTTCATCGTGTAAATCTTTCTAGAGAAATTAGGGACTTTTATGTAGAAACCCTGAACACATATTGCCGATTAACCGCGGGATAGTGGTTAATTATAGAAACTGATCAATGATTCAACGATTCACAAATTTCCGTATTGACCTTGTTCTGTGTTCTTATTTTTTAGCTCACTGTTGACATATTTGTAGGCCTTGGGATATCGCTAAGTTCTTTCAAATGCAGTGCATTCAGGTATTAGTATTTCTTTATCCCAGCATTTATTATTGACAAATTTTAAATTCAAAAGTTTTGATGAAGTGTCTCGTCCATGTTACTCCTATTTTGTATGTTGCAGAGTAAATTGAATCCCATTCCTCACGATTTTCGCTTTTACGTCAATGTTCGAAGATCGTTCGCAAATAAATATTGCAAAAGTAATGACGGTCAAGTTCACTGTGAACATAATTTCATTACTGTTTTCTCCAAATTAAGTTAGCTTAACCTGTGATCCTAGTGCATATAGCAAACCACCATAATCAACAAGTTTTTAGAACATCCGACACAAAAGATTAACCTAAGCAGAATGCTAACATCTCTCAATATGAAATTCGAAGGTCGCGAACATTCTGGGCTCGATGATTCTAAAAATATTGCAAAAATTGTTATAAGAATGTTGGGAGATAAATCTGAGCTAAGGGTACTTTCTCATTTTCTTTGGATTTTTTCGTTTATTGTGATGCTCTCCTTTTTAATTGCTAACAATTGGATTAAGATTAGCAGTTTTTTCCAAGCATATGCTGATTTCAGATGTCCAGATTTATAAAATTAGGTATGTTAAGCTGAAAAGAATTTTTGAAAGGCAGATAAAAGTATTTCCAGGTTAACGAGAAGCTTGTTCGCATTAAGGATGGTGAAAAAGTAAGTGTTTTGTCAGATAACTGATAAGATAACTGAATTTCTCAAAAAAAGAAAAAAAAGCATTGGATTTAAGAGAGAACTAGGAGTCTAACTGAATCATTAGGCATCTTTGAAAAGTTATCTAAAACAGTTCGCTCTTAGTGTATTTCAAAAAATATTCCTGATCAAATTAGTCCCCAGAGTCATTACATAAGTAAATTATAGGCAAAACTGCTACCAGATATGAATAAGGAAGATCGGGATCGACAAACTTGGAGGAATAACCTTCCATACATGGTACAACAGATAAGTCGGGATTCGTTTGTCAGCGGCGAATATTTAGACTGTGACACATGCGATGAGGGTGACTGAAGTTACATCGTCTCGACTTTGTTCTGGCATTAGAATTTATCTTTTCCTCTTGTAAAACATTGAACAATCGTGGTTTCTGTTTAAAATATAGTAAACCGGAGTACGATTTTAGGATGTAACAGTTTCTTCCAGTTTTAATATATGCAACGCAGCCAATGAAGAAAAGAGAATCTCGTTTCGGCAATGTATAACCTAAAAGTCATTATGATGGAAGGTATCCAGAATCGATTATACATCAAAAAACAAGTTGAGTGGGGCAAGAATCCCAAGAAGCAGGCTTGGATAGGCAGAATCCACCTGTAAAAAATAGCAAGTTTGGTGAAATGATATTACTGAAAAAATGAACAATCACAATATTTCTGAAGCCAAAATGAGTAATCCGATGGTGCAACCATCTGGCACCTTAGACAAGCACAATAAAATTTTATATGGGTAACTTTTTACAAATATAAAACAGATGGAAAAGTAGCTAGCTCATTGTTAAATGCTCTCCCTACTGCTTCTGGCATTTACGACACAGTATAGGGCCAATCTTGAAAGACATAATTCACACATCTCAACAAAGTTTTTCAGAAAATAGTTCTTAAGCACCAAAATGAGCCACTTGCCACTTGATATTTTAATATGACATGACCACGTTCTGAATAAAGTCCAGAATATCGGTCCCTTTTTGAAATAGCTGTCATTTCTATTTGTTTTCCAACTATAATACATATGTCAAATCAATCATCTGTTATTCATGGAAATCTAAAACAAACGCACTATTACAACAAACGAAATGCTTGAAAGCATAATGCAGCCATCAGCACCCATACAGGCAAGAAAACAATGCCATATGAAGACTGAACTGCAACCTGTCCATCTTCTAAGTCACCGTTCACTTTGTAACACAACAGCGCTTCGAATATCCCGATCATAACAAATCTTAACCAGCTAAATGCATGCCTGAAATCATCCAATTACTTCCAGTTATTATAGCTATTTTGGACTGGGAAATACAGTAGTTGGGGAGATTCTCGTTTTTTCGACAAATACGAATGAATATAAACTTTACATTTTAATTAATTAATTTCATGACTGATTTCAATTAAGGCAAGAATTCTCCTTTTGAGCAATGATTTTTGAATTTGCGCAATGACGTCAAGCTTCGCGTTCGCCTTGCTAACAAAATATCAACAAAACGAATAAATCCACAAACCTTAGCATATAGATTAAATGAAATAAGTTGGGATAAAAAAATCTGAAAAACAAACAGGATAAAAAATACTTCAAGATGGGATCCTTGCACTGTTTTTCCTCAACCACTGCTCGTACGAGAACGATAAAGAGGAAATACATGTTAAGTGCAGTAGCGATAAACAATGGTGTAAACACATGCCAATAGGTCAGACTCGGGTAAACCTCATTTTTCATCACCTGCAGATTATACAATACTAATATACCATGAAATAACCTATCATGCATTACAAAAGATATTGAGGAAATGCCAACAAAAGATCTTAATTTATGGATCAATCGATAACTCTGTTTATCGACATCATTCGTATTGTAACAACTCTTCGAACCGTTCCAATTTTAGCTTGGTTTTTTTCTTCCATTTTCAAACAGAAAAACCGCAGTTGAAGCATTTTGCAGAAACTTCTGACAAAGTCATATTTAAATTGACTCTAAACAGAATGAAAATACTCCTCATCCACTTTTTTTCCAGTATGTAATTGAAGAGAATACTGGAAGGCACTTACAATAAGAACGGAAAAAATGAGTAGTCCGATAGCATGGAGCCAAATTTCGAAAATCGTGATACCTGTCCATCGTATATACTCACTTATGGAGAGCATAAAATAGTTTCTGAAGTACAGAAGAGAATCCTTCCTGGCTGCTTCTGAGATTGTATCGGCCTTGTAGCAACGCTGATAGTAACATCTATCAGAGGGAAAACTAAATGGAATGTACATTATATATATATATATATATATATATATATATATATATATATATATATATATATATATATATAGTA